CACCGTTCTGCGAAAATCCTCCATACGGCCGCCATTTTCGCTGCCCGGTAAAACACTGCGGGTGGCCATTTTCTTTAACCCGGTGGCCATTTGGAACCGCCGATCAACTGTTAGGAAAACATCGCTATGCGAAAATTGGTAAGCGAAACAGCTTACTGATCATCACAAAGCGATGTTTTACCATTTAAAACATCGCAATGCAATCGCAAAAACGATCGCAAAAAAACTCATCGCTATGCGGATTCATCGTTAAATGGGGCACCCGTTATGCGGGGCACCACTGTATTTTTTGTATGCAGCTTTATCTGATATGCACCATTTTTGAGAAACATTTTCCTAACATACTGCATTTTTCAATATTTTCATGAATTCATGGATCTTTGTTGTCAATTTCCTAACATACACATTATTGTGTATATTTTTTATTGTTGAATTGGATTGCAACATGTGGAAAACAGCAAATTCTCTCTCTGAATCATCGGAAATAAAATGCCTGGGAGTAATGAGGACTGTTGTGCTGCCACGACCATCCTCATTACTCCCAGGATTTCCATTTTTACCCCATTTGGAGTAAATTGCCCCTGTTCCCAGACCACTGCTATACAGTAATGAAACATATGCAAATAATTAATTCTGTTTCTTCTGTGGCATTGCTAAACATAGTGCAGCATTTCATTATCTAGATTTTAAATCCACATTGATATTACAATTGGTGAAAAAGGGGGTGAAATCTCCTGAAGCATCTTTTCACTACTAGGAGATGAAACTTTAGCTTTGGGTGTCCAGAGCATCACCTTTGATCATCCAGTCTCTATGAAAATTGTAAATTGTCAAGATCGTGAGGTTACTGCAGATCCTAGAAAATGTCTTAAGTGAACCTGAACAGATATTTTTGCTGGAAACACAGAAGATAATTCTTCCCAGTCTCTGGTGAATTTAGGATCTTAATTATTTTTTATTTTGATGTGCGATAGTTGTCGTGATAACAGGACATTTTCCATTTATTCTTTTTTATTTTTGCTTTTCCCTTTTGTTATGTCTATGAATTTTCTGGATGAGCATTATTTCCTCATTATAACACAACCTCCCTCTTTCTGAATCAGTACTTTCTTATTATAGCATGTTCTTCCTCCCTCCTTTCTCCTCCATGGATTTACCTAGGCATAAAAATCAGAACTTGGTCAAAATAATTCCATTTGCTTCATTGACAAGCAGAGACTGGAGTGTGTTTTTTCTCATGTTCTTACTCAACAATGTTGCCAATTTATTGATCCGCCTTGAATGCCCTGAAGGGGCATAGTTTCACTGATAAAGGTAGGCCCTCCATTGATATAGATCACAACTATTTCACCCCACTATTGTGGCATTGATTTTCTGCAGCTAGGTTGTCATCCAGAAGTCCAGCCTTTTGATGATGACCCTCTTACTAGTTTGCTGTTAATGCTTTGATCATGCTTATTAAAGCTTTGGAGCCCCACACCAAATTGTAAGCTAGAATTTCATGGATTCTTAATTTGCTTCAAATAAGCTATGTGCTAGTGTACATCGCTGTTGGCTCCCACTGGTTGCTTATATGGGCAACATATAATCTGTTGCTGCAGTTCATGATACCCACATTGCTGCCCAATTCATATTCTGGTGGTAATACGGTGGCTTGAAATGCATTTTCCTTTGAAAAACAAATTAATACAGAGTGTCGGCCTTATTTCAAATTAGAACTAAACTGCCAGAAGGAGAATTTCAGTTTTTTTAAAAGGTGCATGTGTCTTCCTGCATGCCTTGTTTTCCAAGGCAAATGTGGGCCACCAAGATTCAGCAGCACAATGCCAAATTTTGCAAAATTGGAAGTGTGTGCCCCCCCCAGTAGATTAAGGAAGAGCCCACATGGGCCCCTGGCCCCAATAAATTGCTTTGTTCTCCAGTAGCGCATGTAGCTCAGCAAATATGGATTGATATGTTGTCTGAACTGGGGTTCTTGGGTTGTTGCTCCCAAACAAATCATATTTTGTGAACTCAGGGAAGCCCTGGTTTATCATTGTGGTTTGTAGATGTTTCAACAGATCAAGATATCCTGTTTGAACTACACTCTAAAATACAGTTCATGATTTCCAGATGTGCATAGAGGACTGAACGGTTTATGTTTCATTAATGGAATGCATCACTAGCACAGAAATTTAAAACATTCTGGCCACCATTTGTTTCCGTGTTTGGTCCATGATGTGTGACTCTAGTGAATGCACTAAAAATCCCTGAGCAAGCAGAGATAATTTCTCATGCATGGCCCTTCTGATGAAAATGAAAAAGTTGCAGTCTAAAAGAAAAATAGTATTATGGGGAAATTAAAAATCCCTGCTCACTTACAATCCAGTGGTAAAATTTATTTCCAGCCCATTAAGCAGCAACTAATATGAGGGGAGTGTATTCTTATACAGGCTGGTAGTGAACACAAGTAGGAATTCTATACTCTCTTAGAGGTCCACTCCCTTGTGCTAAATGTAGGTGCTGAGTGCAGTGGAGTCAGGCTGCCCCTAAAGATATGTAGAAGTGCCGGGTATACGCATTCTAGCCATTGCTTTCTGGGCATCTTCCCCACACCTAAGTGGCCACGCAGCAGGGACCCAAGTGAGGACCTGGGCTTCTCATACAAAATTGAACATGTGGTGCACGGAGGGAGGGAATAGAAAATTGGAAAGATGAGGAAGAAAGTAGGCAGGGAAAAGGTATGAATTTAGTCGTGCTATACATATTTATCCATAATTTAATTAAGAAATGAAGAGCAAAGCATTATATCGAAAGTTTCATAAAAGAGGTGGATTTGGAGGAGAGATTTATGCTTTATGTATTTGTGTTGTTGGTTTAGATCTTAACTATTTTAATTTTAATCATGGCTGCAATGATTTTGATGGACAATGTTTTGGTTACTGATATGGTTGCTTTATATTTGTGATTCCCAAGCTGGGGTACACGTACCCTAAGGCATACGAACCAGGACATTTAGGGGTACAAGAAAAAAATGAATAATGGTGGAAAAAATACAGTATTTCCCTGAAAATAAGACAGGGTCTTATATTAATGTTTGCTCCAAAAACATTAGGGCTTATTTTCAGGGGATGTTTTATTTTACAGTCATCTCATCTTTTTCTGGTTGCTGTACAATGCTGCACAATGGTGGAGGGCAGGATTTCACTTAACTGGGGCTTATTTTCAAGTTAGGTCTTATTTTCAGGGAAACAGGGTAGTGCAATATAAGATACAAGTCAAACCTTTTGGAATTAATTGAATGTTATGACAAGTGGTGGGGTGGATTTATTTAACCTCAAGAAAAGCCCCATTCCCTCACTTTGTTATTTTGGTGAATTATGGGGAGTTCTTACCTAAACAATGTATTGCAAACATGCCAATATTGTGTGGATGCTTGGTGGTGCATCCCCTAGCAGGCTCAACTTTAATTGAGTGAGTTCTTCCAGGTCTTCCATGATATATTTGCTTGAATTCATTGTATCTTTTGAATTGTAATGTAAATATGTATGCATTGTCAGTTCATCTTCTTATTCTATTGCTTTTAAATCCCATTATTCAGCCGTTTATTTACAATTAGAACACATTAATTTGAAATAACAGCATCCATATTGATTACACACATTTGGCTAATGTGAAGGGTACAGTTTATGAAATGGCTGCCAAGGGGTACACAAGTGAAAAAGATTGGGAACCACTCCTTCATATACATGATGCTTCACACAATGGATATCTATAGGTCAAGAAGGTGGTTGACAAATTAATACATTTTACACATTAAAATATACATCATATGTGATGGGACCTTATGCATTTTTTCCTAAAACAATGCATAAAGCTATCACTGAAAACTTTTCTGCTTTTCTATTGCCTCTGTATTTTCCACCATATTACAGTTAAGGGCATAACACTAAAATATACTGTTCTGTTGCTTTTAACTCGTGGAAGGAAAAGGTATTGCTTTAGTTAAAACTGCTGTGAGGAATTATCTTATGTAAAGAATATATGATCTGATGGAGTCACTGAACCAGTACAAAAATGCATAATGCGCTAAGTTGTTCCCCATTTGTATAGACAGGGGGGTCATTTATATTTGCCACAAAAGAAAAAAAAGGGGTGCCAATAAAAAACAAAGGGATTTTGTATATGCTAACTAAAATGTATAGATGTAAATTTGGAAACAATTACAGTGGTGCCTCGCTTAACGGGCGCCCCGTTTAACTACAAAACCGCATACCGATGAACTTTTTGCGATTGCTTTTGTGATTGCTTTGCAATGTTTTAAATGGGGAAAAATCGCTTTGCGATGATCGGTACCCTGTTTAGCTTACCTATCATCGCAAAGCAATGATTTGTTAACAGCTGATCGGCGGTTCCAAAATGGCCACCGGGTTAAAAAATGGCCGCCCGCTGTTTTCTGGGACGGATTCCTCGCTTACCGGGCAGCGAAAATGGCCGCCGTATGGAGGATTTTTGCTTAAAGGTGAGTCTGAAGCCCATAGGAACGCATTGAAGGGGTTTCAGTGCATTCCTATGGGCTTTTTAATATCGCATAGCGACGAAATCGCTTTGCAGCGATTTTTGCTGCACCGATTATCATCGCTATGCGAGGCACCACTGTACTATAATGTAAATGTTTGACTTTCTGTGTTTAGTCTGGCTTTACTGTATACACTACCTGCCACAAGTTGACAGGAAATCCTTAAAACCATGAGTCTATGCTTCACAGCAGAAATGTGGTCAGATTTTACAAATCAATCATGCTGAGCACAATACTTCATTACTGCCGTAATATTTAAAAACATGCCATCCCCTAATGTGAAATTAAAGTTACTGTTTGCTAAACAGGAGAAACAATGGATTGGAGAAATGTTAATCTTTGAGTTTCCACTGGAGTCTTGGTTGATTTTGTTAAAAGGTGTTATGTATTCTAGTTTTATCTATGTTCAAATGTGTGCTCTTTTTTCTGTTTATTTTCCCAGGCTGGCAAAAAGGAAAGGAGCAATGCCTTGAATACTGCAATAGATAACATGTGCAAGAAGACAAGAGATCTCCGCAGGCAGGTAATCTCCCCTGGGGTCAAAATGTGTTCAGCAGAGATTTATGGAAGAAATAATAAAAACAAAGGAAGGGTTAAATAAAGAATGATCTTTGCTTAAGGGAGACTTGATACCTCAATAAATGCAAGTTAAGGATGGTGGGTTTGGAACAGTAGTATCCCCAAACATCAAAGAAGACATACAGCCTGCATTGAGCAAGGGGTTGGACTAGATGGGCATATAGATCCCTTCCAACTCAATTATTCTATGATTCTATATAACCTACCATGAAGAGTCAAGTGCTTCACTGCTTGAAGGTTGTGTTTCTCTTTGGTCTCTTGAATTGGAGCCCATGTAAGAATATGAAGTAGGTCTCTAAATGAGATACAGCAGTGCAGTTTGAGTATGTGTTAAAGATGTACCGTATTTTTCCGTGTATAAGACTATACTTTGTCTAAAATCTTTAGACTAAAAATTAAGAGTCATCTTATACATGGAAATAAGCTGAGGAGAGAACAATAATAAGTGGCGGAGAAAGCAGGGATCAAAGCAATCCTACAGCACTTTGATCCCTTTCCCCCTACACTTACTAAGCCCCACTTAGATTTTTTAATTTTGGATTAGAAAAGTGGGGGGCCATCTTATACATAGAGGCGTCTTATACATGGGAAAATACGGTATGTAGCATTTCTCAAACTAAGGTGGGTTTGGTGATTGTATAATTGGGAAACTGCCTGAGAGTCCCAAATAAAGCCTACATGAGTTCAGGGAATTATAACAGGATAATAACAGAATTTAAATATATAATTTGGTAGTGTGTAACAAAAAAACAAAAACCAGAACTACAATATAACACTTGGATGACATTGATAAGAGACTTTGTGGGTGATGTGGATGTCCATGTACCCAGTATTGCTACATTTTAATCTAAACATATGCACCATTCACTTTGTGAAATGGGCTTTTTGCAATTACGTTTAATCATAAATATTAACTAGACTAGTTTTGTTTTTAGTTTTGAACAAAGAGTTGAAAAAGGAATCTTTAAAGTGCATATTTATTATAGCCCCTTGTTTTCCTGCACTATCGTATGTGTTTTGAGAGCAGTAGCAACATTAATGAATGAAGGATAACAAAACTTTGCTGTCTATTACTTTAAAATGCTTTATTCATGATTCAGCTCATTCTAGAGCTCTTTATAGATTAGTTTTTCTGCAACAGACTGGGAATACACTTGACTGGTTCTGCCTCTGATGTAACACTATCCTTTGTGGTAATCGTGTTGTGCTCCTTCTCATGTGCAAACCCCTGAGTATGAAAGGTGTCTTCAGCTTCAAAACGCTGCAGCTAGAATTTTGACTGAGGCCAGCAATTTAAATTATATGATTGCATTGTTGTATCAGTTTTATAGGATCCTGCTCAATCAGGGAGCTGCAGTTCAAAACACTGACTTCACTCATTAGATCTCTATATAATTTAGGACAGAGTAATTAAAAGGTCACTTCCTCTCATGCAGTGCTACCCATTTATTTGGTTCATCAGGCAAGGCTTTGCCTCATGTACTCAACCTCATCAGATGCTTAGGTGGTGGGTTTGTGGGAAAGAATCCTCTCTGTAATGTCACACAGGCTCACCCACGAGACTCATTCTCCTCTGCTTGACACATTTAGAAGCCAGCTTAAAGTTTTGTATTTTGGCAGTCATATAGGCGTGCTTGATTTCTGGGGTCCTTGCTGCTAATATTAATTTATGTCTTCTTGCTGGAATGTTACAAAGTGGGTTTTGCTGCTCAAAAAATATTAATATAGAATATTTATGCCTGGCTTTTCTATCATATCTTTCAGATGCCCAAGGCTGCTTACAATCAACATGGTTAAAAAACTGCACACAGTAAATTAAAACATAGTAAAACTGCCGCAGGCAGAAATAATGTAGGATAGAGACCATACCCTGCAGCTGAGCAAGCTCATAAGCCTGTCAGAATAGAATAATCTTATTTATGCCCCATCTTTCCCTCACATAATCACTTTCAGTAGTCTTGAAATATGCTGATATATTCGGAACAAGGTTCTATGTTTAGATAGAGCCATTCTTTCTTATACTGTATTACAATTAAGGATATTGTATTTTTCAGTTCTGATTTTGCCACCTGCAACTACGTATAATCTGTTCTTAAATTCTTTTACTTGTCTTCTGTCAGTAATGAGAATGGAATATAATATTATTAAAATGTAGCAGAAAGCTTTAAAAATTATAGCAAGGAATCTGTGAATCCTAAAGGAGATGAGGAATCAGTGTATCTAATATTATGCACATAGTTGTTTCTAGCATTAAGAGGGAAAATGTATCCATATTTATTGTGGCACAGTTTGAGCTACGATAAATACTCAGAAGAATCTTTAAGTTTCTATAAGCTGCTTTTTGTGTAAACTGATAGGTTTTATCAGCCAGCTTGGTCATGACTTCCATGCAAATCAACACATGGTGTTTATGGTTCTACAGACTTGGAAGGATGCAACTGCATTTCTGCAACTGCGGCCAAGCTGCAGGGAGGAGGCAGAGTTGCTTTGGTTTTTTTTTTTACTAACCATGATTTGTTGTTGTTGTTTTTCTTCCTTTTGGTCTTAGACTGTTCCTCCTCTCCTTACTATGCCATTTAATTTTCTTTGTAACGAGGTTAAACTCCTAAGCTTCCATGTGTAACACCTGCCTTCTTATTATAGGTGACTTTTCAGTTCACTCTATAGACTGTATTCCTTATGGAAGTGTTGAGAGTAAGCCATGATTATCTTCTTTTGTTTTGTTTTAAGAATGTTTTGTGAACAGCTCACTGGTGCTCCAAGTATCCTAAATATGGTATAATTTCACTCTCGGATCAGTCCTTTCAACACAGGTGCATGCCTTTTTAAAATTTAGATTGAAATCCTGTTGCTCAGCCTAGTGAGTTGCAACTAAAGTGGGTCCATTGGATCAGTGAAGGGGGTAGCTCACCCACCCCCACTGATTCAATGGGCTTATTCCACCTGCAACTTACTGTGCGAGCCACAGGATCTGAACTATAAGTACTGACTTTTCTTCTCCAAATTATGAGAGAGAGAGATTTCCAAACTCAGGTGGAACAAAGAGTTCCCCTTTCCTTTACCAAGTTCATTCAGTCTGTCCTCCAATTGCTATGTGGAAATGGACTTCATAACTTACAACTGATAGAACAAATTGGACATTTTAGGAAGTAGGGGGTCTGATCTGTTCTTTAACAAAAACAGTACAGTATTTATTGTCAATAGAACATTGCTTCTGAAGACACTGGAAGTTGGCTCTGTCTAGAAGTCTCCAGAGACAGACTGATGATTAACCCTACATCGCTCCTGAGCAAGTAGTTTTTATTGCCAAAGTTTAAGCATGTATGGAGCTGTTTTATACTTCTACAGTTTTTACCACAGATTCCAGATATTTTGGACTAAAAATTCCATTATTCCAACCATGCTGACCATTGGTCAGATATGATGGATGTTACAATTCCAAGTCTGGAAGAACGTTGATTGTATGTTTACATTATAATTTGATGAGACATCAAAAAGTGAATCCTCCCTGCTATGCTTCGTGCTGTCCCTTACTGGCAGCTTGTGATCTAAAGCAGTGGTTCCCAACCTTGGGCCTCCAGATGTTCTTGGACTACAACTCCCAGAAGCCTACACCACCACCTCTTCTGGCCAGGATTTCTGGGAGTTGAAGTCCAAGAACATCTGGAGGCCCAAGGTTGAGGACCACTGATCTAAAGCACGTGTGGCTTCCCATCCTACAGTGATAGGATGAAGCACCCTCCCTTTCTTGGACCAGGGTTGCCAGTGGTGATCATAGATATGGAGAATTGGAGGATACTATGCACTTAAGTCTTTTAAGATCTAGTCATTAATTATGCTGAAGATACGGCTTCTCATTTATATCTTTCTAGGCTGCACAAAATAACATTTGGACGAATTTCATTTCCAATGTTATAATTTGAAATAATATATTATTGTTGGCACTTTCCTTTTTCAGCTTCGTAAAGCGATCATCGATCATATCTCAGACTCCTTCTTGGACACAACTGTTCCACTTCTAGTACTCACTGAAGCTGCTAAAAATGGAAAAGAACAGGAGATAAAGGAATATGCTGCCATATTCCAAGAACACACGTATAGGCTTATTGAGGTGAGTTCAACAGAAATGCATTGGAATTGAATATGAAATATTGTGAGTTCCTCACTCACTTTTTCTCCTCATGCTTTTCCTTGTCAAGTGTCTAAAGGGATTGAAGGCTGCATAACTAGCTAAGTTCCAAGAAACAGTAGTTTTGTTCTTCTGAAGGGGCTTACTGCATTTATTTATTTATTTTTAATTTATGGCCAGGTTCCATGTTTGTTCATCTAGAAATGTTATCATTATGCTTTTTTTTCATTATTGGAATCAGGTTGTGGTGACGTCCTGAATATCACTAGACTTTACAATTGTGAATTGTGTGGCATCAGCTGATAGAACAGATTTGTGCAAACAAGTTTTAGTGTGTTTGTGTGCGTGTGAGGGCAATCTACTTACTTTTATTTAAAATCCCTATACTCATGACCTGGACCCAGCTGGAAAAAAGGGCAAAGAAAGAGGGAAAGAAACAGGAAGGGAATAGAAGCCAGAATTCTATTGGAGATTTATGCATGCTTAAGTGAAATTGTGTAAGTTGTACTATCTATCTATCTATCTATCTATCTATCTATCTATCTATCTATCTATCTATCTATCTATCTATCTATCTATCTATCTATCTATCTATCTATCTATCTGATTGATTGATTGATTGATTGATTGATTGATTGATTGATTGATTGATTGATTGATTGATTGATATACTGCCCATCTAGAATGGATCTACTCTAGACAGTTTATGTATAATATAAAAAATAAATTAAGAAAAAATCCAGATTAATCCAATCACATTTCTAGTTGGAGGGTGGGCACATGGCCAGGCATGCAGCTAGACCTTGTTAATTAGCAACAAATTCAATTACTCATAAACAAATCACCACTAAGATTATGGCCAGTGATTCAGAGGGGTGGAGCAAATTACCCATGGTACTCCGGGAGTTGTTTCTCAATTTCTCAGCTGCTTATTGGTTATTTTTTTTCCAGAGGAAAGGCCAATCTGCATAGAATTATTACAATTCCTGAGCAAATTATTACCTTTCCTGCACACGATTCCCAGGAAAGGAGGGTCAGCTGAGCAGGACTTGGCTGCTTTTTGAAGTTGAACAAGAAGAATGGAAAGAGAAGGGAAAAAAAAGAAATGGAATTAAATTAAAAATTTTTAAAAGCCAGGAAACATTAGATTGGGATCTTGTTTTTGTGAGGAGATTAAAAATCTCATTGGTGCATAGGGAAGTCTCTGTAAGAAGCCTCAATATGGTAAGACTTGGAGAATTACCAAGAATGGCTCCCCCACCCTTGTATTCTTTATATATGTAGTTTATGGTATGTTTTGCAGTATGAGAAAGGCACTGATGAGGTATAAATCTGCTTTTTCTCAACTTCATAATGTGAATATAAAAACCTTTTCGGCAAAGACCCCAATTTGGTTTCTGTTCTGTATTTCCTTCTGTTTTGTGTTAACATTAGCAGAGGGCAGAAAGATAGGCAAATATGAGACTAATAACAAGAACGATTCATCAATGGAATAGAGACAGTGTTAGTACTAGTCCTCCTCTATTTGGAACCGGTTAGACCCCATCTTGAGTACTGTGTCCAGTTTTGGATCCTGCACTTTAAGAAGGATGTTGACAAACTGGAGCAGGTTTAGAAGAGGACAAGGATGATGAGGGAACCTGAAAGCACACGCAGTGGAGGAAAGACTGAAAGAGCTGCACATGTTTAGCCTTGAGAAAAGAGGACTGGAGGGAGGTGTGATAGCATTCTTTAAATACTTGAAAGGTAGTCACAGTGGAGGGGCAGAATTTGTTCTTGATGTTTCCAGAGTACAGAACACATAATAATGGGGCCAAGTTACAGGAAGCCAGATTTTGGTTGAATATCAAGTAAAACTTCTTAACTGTTAGAGCAGTATGACAATGGAACCAGTTACCTCAGGAGCTGGTGAGTGCTCCAATACTGGAGATATTCAAGAGAAAATTGGACAATCCTCTGTCAGATCTACAGTGGTGCCCTGCATAGCGAGGTTAATCCGTTCCGGATTAACCTTCGCTATGGGAAAACATCGTAAAACGGATCCAAAAAACCCATTGGAACTCATTAAACAAAGTTTAATGCATTCCAAATGGGCCCAAAACTCACCGTTCTCCGATGTTTTCCCTTGTTCCGGCAGCCATCTTGGGTGTACCGGCGGCCATTTTGAGAGTCCCGGCGGCCATCTTGGGTGTACCGGCACCCATTTTTTTGTGTTCCGGCGGCCATTTTGGAACCGCTGAACAGCTGTTCCCCCATCGTAATGCGAGCATGCCCTCGCATTAGCGATGGGGAAATCCGCATCGCAAGGCAGATTCATCGTTCAACAGTGCACTCGTTATACGAGGCACCACTGTACTTTTATTTGGATTCTTGCATTGAACAGCAGGTTGGACTCGGTGTTATAGGTCCCCTCCAACTCAATTAGTCTATGAATCTATGATTCTATAAGTTCATGGTCATTTCTTTTTGCAAGAAAAATGAGGAAAAAAAGAATGGGGTTTTGTTTACAGTGGTGCCTCAACTTATGAACTTGTGAACTGCAAGACCCATTGCAAATGCAAAGAAAACGAAGCAAAAATCAATCAAGCATGCAAGACCTATTGCAAATGCAAAGAAAACAAAGCAAATAGCAAGCAATCGTGCAAGACCCATCAGAAATGGGGGGGGGACCCAAAAGCAAACAATCCCCCAAGTCCCATCAGAAATGGGGAAAAAAACCCCAAGAAACAACCAAACCTCACAAGACCCATCAGAAATGGGGACCCCCCCAAAAGCAAGGAAACCCACCCAAGACCCATCAGAAATGGGAAAAAAATCACCAAAAAGCAACCAAACCCCCAAGACCCATCAGAAATGGGGGGACGACCAAAAAGCAACCAAACCCCGCAAGACCCAACACAGCACAGAAACATAACACCCCAGCCCCCACCCAGAACAGTTTCTAAAAAGCAGAAAACAGCACCTTACCAGGCCATCCGAAGCCTCCTCTGATCGCGCACTAACTGCAGGAGTGAAAGAGCTACAAAGAAGCAGCCTCTTCGCCACCAACAGTTAGCAATTTGAATTTCTTGCCTTTTTGTATTCGTAACTGGATGCTCCGGTGGCAAGTTGAAGCAAAATTTTGCGGCTAGAGCTGGTCATAACTTGAAATGGCCATAAGTTGGGACATTTGTAAATTGAAGCACCATTGTATTTGTTTTTTGAGACAGATGGGGTTGGACTTGGTGGCCTTATATGCCCCTTCCAACTCAATTATTCTGTAATTCTCTGTTATGCAAGCAAAGTCTGAACTAAAACAAAAATCTAGCTTACGTTTCATTTACTTTTGAGGAGCAGTACTGCACTAGGGATGGACATTTAGCTTTGGAAATATTTGTAATTCACTGAATGCCATATTTGGGTTGTTCCGAATATATCCAAAGCCAAATTTAATAGTTCCGAATATATCCAAAGCCAAAATTTAATAGTTCCGAATATCTGTAATAATAATTCTTAATACTGTATTTGGAGTGCCATTTATTATTATATTCATTCAATTATTGATATAGATTATAAAGCAAAAGACTAGGTTTCTGCTTGCTAGAAAAAAGTGACAGTGAAACCTCTTTCTCAGACATTCTGGAACAATCTCTTGAGAAATGGAAATTAAAGACACACTGGCACCAAGACTAGTAGGGCAGAGACTCAGTGTCTCCTGATTGGAATGGCCATGGTTTTGCCAAGGAAGGGGAGCTGGAGTAAAACCTGTCAATGATGTCTGTCTGCACCAGTGAAATCTAGAAGCAGACACCGAAGCCAGAAGGTATTTTTTTTCCACATTGGTTCTTTTCAGTTGAAAGATGGACATCGCTTCTGATAAATCTCCTGATCATTTTCTGTTACGATATGCTCTGGTGGAAGCCTACACTGCATCTGTGTCCTTTTCTAAACCCTCAACTTACATTTATGTTCTACAAATGTAAATAATATAGATAGATATGTTCTATAAATGTAATTAATATAGATATAACCTATACAATGTCAGATGCTTTGGAAAAGGCCATTTCCTTGAAAATTCTCCCCCAAGTTCTAACTCTGTGTTTGAAAACTTGGCTTTAAATTATGCATCCTGTTGTTGAAAAATGCTCCTGTCTGCAGAATTTAGTGTCTACAAGCATTATTAAAAACTCTGTCAAGGTTTGTAAGCCTCTAAACATAAACAATCTTTTTAGCCTTAATTTCTTTGAAAATGCTATGAAGTGCCTTCTTCCCTTTCCTTCTCCCCATGCTTCCTTCTCTCTTTGAGTCCAACTACTTTCATGTTTGTGTTTAAAAACACATTATGAAATTTTCTTTCATAACAAGCTGTAAGTAAAAAGTTTGTTCCTTGGCAAGCAATGCAGCTTCCAACTCTCTCTCTTTCTCTCTTGGCCCGTCTACATTTTTGTCTTTTTCTGCTTTAATACACATTTCTAGGTGGCATGAAGACAATAAATGGCAATAATTTACTAATTAGATGCAGCTTTGCATATTATACTGCATTAATGATTATATTTTAATTTCCAGAATTTATTCGCAGTATTTACTGCATGGATGGTTAACTGTGGTTTTCTAGATGTTGTTGAACTATAGCTCCAAGTGTGTCTTAACACTGACTATTTTGTCTATGAGGAGTGATGGGACTTGAAGCCCAACAACATCTGGAGGACAACAGTTGAGAATTTCTGTTTGTCTTCGTGCCTCTGTGAATGCACACTAATGGGTTAATCTGTGCCTGTGCAGAGCAGCCTCGGAATCTTGTAGAGCTTAAGCACATGATGCCAGGACCTCCCACATGCTGCCTATAACCCCACCCCAGCACCAAGTGCCTCAGTTCTGTTTCTGCCACTGCTGTTGCAACTTCTCGGATCAGAGCTACTGCATTCGTATTTTTTCTTGGACCTCCCAGTTTTTTTTTGTTTTTTTTTTTTAACTTTGGACCATTTCTGACATTGCCTTTGGAC